TGGCAAAGCTAAAAAGGGAAAACGCTTCCAGCAGAGACTCCAGAATTACTTATGAGATGAGAATTTATCCTCTGGGCTGTTAATCCGCTGTTGCAGCCTAAAACGCAAGAACACAAAAAATGTAAGCACAGTGATAGGATTGTTTGGCAGTTTTCCTGTGACAACGATATCTCAAGAAATAATCTGAATGCAGTAGGGGACAACGCCGAGTAGGATTATTAATTTTACTGAGTTGCATTGTTATGAGTCATGTCGGCTCTCAAGCAGAGAGGTTTGTGTGGTAAAGTAGTTACATGATGAAAGGTGCTGGTTGGAGCTAAGGGAGGGTGTTAGTTTTGTTTGAAGTGATTGTTTCTGGGATCATTAGCACTCGAGTAAAGGTAGAGGGAAGTGCACATTCTGTTTGAAACTGGCCTTGATTTATGGGAGAGGGTTTTCTATAATCGGTTTTGCACAATCCTAGACCTTGCATGCTGTATTGGAAGAATGTTTATTTTGCTTTGGTTATTTTATCTCACTATTTAATAATTACTGTTTTAATATTAAAACTCTCCCTCTACAGCTCCATTTGTTTTTCCTTGGTTTTTTTTTTTTTATAAAGAATCCTTCAATAATATGCAATATGCTTCAGAATCACCTTTTATCTAAGGTTTCCATAATAATTTGTTGATGGCTATAGAATGATGTTGTTGAGCTACCTAATACGGGTACAAAATTTTGAACAAAAATGTAAAGGCTGCTTGGGGCCTTTTGAAAGACTTGACCTTTAAAATCTTCATCTGGAGTTAAGATTTTCTTCCTTGCTGGCATAGCGATAAATCCTCCCACTTTCACTGTATTAGGGAAGAGAACTGAATCACATTTTTTAATCAAATGCTTGGGAATTGGCCCGAGATCAAACTAGCTGCTTACATGCCGTTTTCTCATTTTGTTTCTTTTGCGGAATTTTAGTAAGAGATAAAAGGCAAAGCAAAAACATCTGAAAAGCTCTACTAATGTTTTTGGCACAGCAGACAGATAACTTGCCACGTAGGGAAATCTACGCCTGTTTCGGGCCTGCACTGTGCGGTAAAAAGCACCAAGTCTTACAGGGTTAATCGGCAGG